TTCAAAAACTAAGACATCAAACCTTAAATCCCTGACATTGTCGTTCTTCATGTCTAACAAACAAACAGAAGAATGTATTGACTTATATGAAGCAAATATTGAAATGAAGTTTGCAGCCAAAAATGAAAACACAAGAGATATAGAAATGACATCTGAATCAAGTGTTAGACACTCCTGCTGAATAATCAGTCAATCAGATACTGATTTAGTGTATTCATCAAATTAGCTATGTTTAGTGTATGTTTAAAATACATAATTGCTCAAATCTTGTAAAAAAAGATCGAGGCCCCCATTTGAAGTATTAAAATTTTTTATACCCCCTTTATATTCCCAACATTTTTCGTGAGCCCCCTTAATTCCCCCCTTTTCAGGTTACATATCAGTCCCTAACTTATCCATTGTCAAATACGTTTTGATACAAAATTTTGTACTGGTCTTTAATCATAGAGTCACTTGGCTTTGTTTGACCTGTGTACCGAGAAGTTCTATTTATAGAGAAGAAAAGACATATTTAGCTTTTTCTAAAGGAATCCCATTTTATACGAAAGCCTATTAGAGTCACAAAAAAAAAAATATTTATCTCGTAATTACGAGATAAATATCTCGTAATTACAAGAAAACTATCGCGTAATTACGAGATCATTATCGCGCAATTACGAGATAATTATCGCGTAATTACGAGATAACTATCGCGTAATTACGAGAAAATTATCTCGTAATTACGAGATAAAATTACATATATATATAGATATACAGATCATGATTACCCTTCCGGGGCACCTGATAAAACGCCTGTTTTTATAAGCTTAACTGACCCAAAGGGTCAAGTGATCTTTTCCCATCACATGGCGTCCGTCGTCCGTCGTCGTCCGTTAACTTTTACAAAAATCTTCTCCTCTGAAACCACTTGGCCAAATTGAACCAAACTTGGCCTTAATCATTCTTAGGGTTTCTAGTTTAAAAACATGTATCCGAAGACCCCGCCCACCAACCAAGATAGCCACCATGGCTAAAAATCGAACATGGGGGGGGGGGGGTAAAATGTAGTTTATGGTTTATATCTCTGAAACTAAAGCATTTAGAGCAAATATGACAGGGTAAAAATTTTCAGACGAATCAGACTTCCCGTTGTTGGGCTGTTGCCCCTGAATTGGTAATTTTGATGATTATTTTTCAGTTTTTGGTTATTATCTTGAATATTATAATAGAAAGATATAAACTGAAGGAGTAAAAATGTTTAGCCAAGTAAGATCTACAAATAAGTCAAATGACCAAATTGTCAATTGACCCATTAAGGAGTTATTGCCCTTTAAAGTCATTTCTGCAATTAAGTAAATTTTTTTTAATCTTTTACAAAAATCTTTCTCCTCTTAATCTACTTGGCCAAATGAATTTTTTATCTCGTAATTACGAGATAGTTTTCTCGTAGTTACGCGATATTTATATCGTAATTACGCGATAGTTATCTCGTAATTACGAGATGATTATCTCGTAATTACGAGATAAAAAACTTCTTATCTCGTAATTACGCGATAGTTTTCTCGTAATTACGCGATAATTTTCTCGTAATTACGCGATAGTTATCTCGTAATTACGCGATAGTTTTCTCGTAATTACGAGATAAAAATATTTTTTTTGTGACCCTAATAGGCTTTCGTAATTTTATATTCAGACCTGATTGTTTTAATCATACAGAATGTGACATTCTACTGTTCTGCATTTTTATTCATTACTAAATAAATAACCAAAGATAACTATCATGAAATCTATAATGATTTCATTCTCTCAGATTCAAAATAAATGAAATCTTCCGACTAAAGGTACAAGGGAACACTATTTCTGAACTGATACATAAACCTATAAAGCTGTGCAGTAAAATACAAGTAACATTTAAAACATTAATGTTAATTCAAGGTTGTCGAATTTCAAAATTGTAGTATCTTCTCTCTTATGGAGATGTAGGGTACCTGTAATAAAAACACAGCCCATCGACAAAACAAACACACAAGAAACCAACAGCAATTTTTTTTTATTTTAGCACCCATTTGACAGTTTCGTTGAGTGCAATAACAAGACAACAGATTGCTTACATTAAACTAATGATCGCAGAACAATACGATGTTTATTTTACTTCTCTAATAGAAATAGAAAACTATATTAGTGTTACACTAAAACCTGGCAAACATAAATTTCGATTGCGAACTGAATTGTACCAATGAAATGAAGAATTTCACACATGAATCATTATCAAAGAAGTCCATAAAGGTAATGCATTTGTTATCTAAATGCTGTGGTTTCACAAATTTCTTGTTTTGAATAAATAACATGATAAAAATTACCACAAAATAAGACCATGTAATTACATTACCAAAACATAAACGAATTTATACAGAATATTGTGGAATTATTCTGATAAACATGCATGCATTGGGAAAGTTTAAGTTGAAAAATAACTTTAACGGACTTCACAAAATGAGACAACTCTCAACCAGAAACAAAATGACATAGAAGTTAACAACTATAGGTCACCGTACGGTCTTTAACAATGATCGAAACCCATACCGCATAGTCAGCTATAAAAGGCTCCGAAATGACAAATGTAAAACAATTCAAACGAGAAAACTAAAGGCCTGATTTATGTACAAAATAATGAACGAAAAACAAATATGATATACAGCAACAAACGACAACCACTGAATTACAGGCTCCTGACTTGGGACATTGGGACAGGCACATACAGAATGTGGCGGGGTTCAACTAGTTTGAAGGCGCCAACATTCCCCTAACCTGGGGCAGTGGTGTAACAGTACAACATAAGAACAAACTAAAAATTCAGATGAAAAGGGCTTAACTCATCAGATCGATGCATTATTCAACTGTCACGTGATTCCTAACTGAAAATCAGTAGTTAGTGTAAAAGGCAAGAACATGACAAATAATGAAATTAGACCAGACTTACAATAAACATGTTTGCACTATGACAAAGCCAAAATTTCACTCGACTAAGGACATTTTAGTGCATTGATGGAAAGGAAATCATCAATGTATCAAATAAATTTACTAAATGTATTTCCTTTTTCCTTTAAGTTTGATATGAGTACAATAACTTGAGAAGAATTCGGCTAACAAAGACTCATCACTAGCAACTAACAACTAACAACCATTGACAAACTGAATGTCTCTTGTAATATCGATACACCAAATTCAACAAATATGTTGTCGATAAAAAAATTTCGCATTACGAATGAACACACTTATAAGGGGACGACCATTTGATATTCTGGGGGGGGCCAGGAGGATTTTGAAAATAAATAACTCAGCCTTGATAATCACAAAAATAAATGGTTTGTTCTGTGGTAGTTTGAAAATAAATTACCTGACTTGCAATGTATTGAAAATAAATAACTCAGCAGGTCTAATCGAAAGTATGAGATGGCACCAGATTCTTCATAAATTCATCTTTTTTAAAAAAAAAAAATCGGGAAACACTTCCCATATTTTTAATAATAAAAGTATAAATATTATTTAAATATACTTGAAATGTCAGAAAATTGGTTTCATTTAACTTGAGGTTAATTGTCTCAGGAACACTTACCTCACTTTTATTAAATCAGGGCCGTAACTACATTGAGACAAATGCCTCATGTAGGAAATTTCAAAACCAAACGATTGTCTCCATATAAAATTGTGTTCACCGTGAGTGCCTTGCAAGAAGCAAGTTCTGTTCTCCCTCAGACGTAGCCCCTGATTTTTCAGGATCAATGTTTCTTATTTATTTGTCTTTTGTTCATTGATTGCCCTTCTGTATTCTGTTAGTGTTGCATTCATTTTATAATTTAGTAATTTTATTATTAACTTGATCATGAGTTTAAAAAAACACAGCAGCCACAGACTTAACTACGTGAATTACATTTTTGCTTTATCATGCATATTTGTCTTTTGATGTTGTCCCTAGAAACTAAAGTCTTACACTGAATCTATAACGTGATTTTGCTTTGAGACCAAAATATTGTCATAAAATTATTAAAACAGAACTTGCATTTTCAGTTTAAGAAAGGGTCTGGGGAACACCCAGAAGGCATGATTTTGCATCATTTGTTCTATAGCTTCTTGGGCCTTCAGCGGTTCAAAAACCCTTCAAAAAAAATTTTGCCTCGCTCCGCTCGGCTAAACATGTTTGCCAATACTTTTAAAACAGCCTTAGTTACAACCAAACTTTAATACTGTGTATGTATGCAATACATGTATATGCATTGGGGAATATAGAAGAATCATTTCTGCAGAGGATAATAATTAATTCTGATTAAATGATGCATAATGACTTGACTATACATGAATTATTTATAATAAACAAATAATTTAAAAATTGTATGTTTTCGAATATTATAAATATAGTTGTGAAAATAAATAATCAGTCCCTTGCTTTAATGAAAATAAAAAATCTTGCTTCAATAGTGCAGAAAATAGATAATCTGTCCTCTTAGTTTACAAAAATAAATAACCGATCCAAAACAAATCCTCCTGGCCCCCCCCAGAATATCAAATGGTCGTCCCCTAACAGAACAAGGTCTTAAGGAAAATGAATTTTAAATCAATTATTTCCGAAGGTCTATAAGTGCAAAGCGTTTCACGTTCCAGTCATAACTTTCTCACATGTTGAAACATTCGACACAAACAAATTTCTTGGACGATTTATGATTATTCCCTGGGTATCTTCTGCTTTTTAGCCCCTTCAAACCTGTTTAATCATTCTCAAAATCAATGTGGTAAAATTACATCTTTCAAATAGAAAGCAGTGTAAAAATGAAAGTCATCCTCACCTAACGATATAATTTTTAAGATGAACGAAAAATGTGATGTAAGAAGTGTCTTTGGTACACGTACAGAATAGATCTCTGATATAATAACCAAAATATTATATCATTGAAAAATATATACAGCATTAAACCTTTTATTGAGGAAATTTAAGTTGTAAAAAATTTAATTTAAATTTAAATGCTTTTAACGTGTGCAGTTACCCATGACTGTCTTATAATCATAACAGGGATTGTAGATGCAGGAAGTTTTTTCTGTTAAAAATTATGTTATTGCGTACTACACCTATCAATTAAAGTAACTAAGGAATATATACCGAAATAAAATGTGAGTATTATTATTTACTTCTTTAATTTGTAGGAATGAAGGTGAATGGATTTAATGACACACGAGAGAATCTCGGGTACTTTGGATTTTACGGTCCAATGACTGTTTTCTTTAAATTCCATAACATTATACTCTGGGTCATTGTTCTATAAATTGTCATTAACATTTTAAATCCAGAGCACAGGGGCGAGACAAGTAAATCTCACTTATTCATATGCCCGTGTGCCTTCATACTTAGTATATATTAAGTAGAACAAACAAATAATTCAGACTATTGTACTCCACAACCATAATCTCAGGTAACTCTACGTACTTTAAACGATACCAATTATACAGAAGTAGATGCGCATTTCGACAATTAATGTCTCTTCAGTGAGGTTCGAGGCCAAAACATTTGAAAACCAAAACCAAATAGAAACACAAAAGAGCTGATGTAATCGAAAACGACCAAAATTATTGCCAAATCTGGTCAAGGAATCGAGGCTATGTACTCAAACAACTTTCTACGTTTTAGAACGGAAAAGTTCAATACACAGTATCCATATTTCCATGCCAGTACCGAAGAACTGGACTATTGGACTGCATAATTGTTATTGTGACTAACAGCCCACCAACAGAGGTATCGACCAAGTGGTAGTAATCACATATAAATATACTTTTTGCTAAAAATCGTCTGTAAATTTGACTCGGAAGCTATTTGGTATATATCATAAATGATTACATACCTGTGAAAATCTTTGCGAATAGGCCACAGAAACCATAGTGGCACGAACTCGTCAGAATATTGTAGTTATATTTTCTGTAAACAATTGGTATAAAAATTTGTCCTTACATTTTTAAAGTTGAATAACTTTCCTTTAAAACGATTTTTTTAAGTTGTGGTTTAAAAAAAAATACATGCAAAACAAAGCGAAACAGTACCCGTTATAGATGCTTTAAAGGAAAGACTTATCATTCAGGCACATAGTCAATAACTAATTGCAAATTGAATTTTAAATTAATTTGTGCATGTAACTGCAGTTGTTAAGTATTAAAATAAAACCAGGGAGAAATGTTGAAACAATGAAAGCAGTTAATAATTTGCGTATACTTGTTTTCACCTTAGCTGTTATAGATAAAGAGCCTGTTTATCGAATATGTCTTGGGACTAAGACATGTCTTTAGACCATCCGAGGACACTTATTGGTATACAAAATGTCGTATATTTTGGACACCAATTTGGATGTCTTATGATGATCACAATATGGATCAAAGCAGTTATATCATTGTATAGTATTAGAAAGTTTACTGGAAAAAAAATCGTACTTTTCCACTTCATCATAGAGAGTTTATATCAGTTGTAAAGTAAGGATTCCTTCTTTTTCCACATTTTCACTCGTATATATTGCATACAATAATAAAGCTACTCAATAATTATACGAAGAATGCACGAGATTTTTTGTTTTGTTTTGTAATGTATGACATTGTGACAGTTCTTCAACTGTTATGGTTCTTATACATCCTTCGTTTTCATATATTTGACCTTGAGCGTTCTTGATGAAGGTAAATCAAGAAAAGCGCTTCGGACGCATGACTTTTATTAAGTGTTGTTTTCATTATTTGAATTCAACTCCCTCAAAACTAGATAACTATTTATGTCGTTAATATACTTCGCTGTAACCATTTAGACTTAATTTTTCTTGTATAAAAAGTGGTAATTTTTGTTATTTTTTTGTTTTGAATTTGGTTCATAAAGTGGCAATGCACGATTATTATCACTATCATTATTTTACAGTTATATTGATTAATTAATTGGGATGCATTTTTATCTCAATTTATAAAAGAAATTCTCATATAATATAACGATTAACATTATAATCTCTTGGTATAATATAATATTTGAAATCACAAATCTTCTGTTTTCAGCGTTGAGTCTTTACGGTTTCATTGTAATATCTGCTTACCTCGATTAGAAAGACATAATTATTATAGTCTCGAAATAAAAAAAAATAGTGCCTAACTTCTTTAAAAGTTTTCAACAAAACAGAAACCCTGATATTAAAATCCCATTCTTAAAAGGAGGATTTGTAGTTACACAATTTTAGTTTTCTTTGTAGTGTTTTCTAACCCGAATAATTCAGTCCCCCACCCCCACCCCCCGTGATCGAATCTCCCACTCGCGAGGTTAGCCATCGTAAATCAGTGGAATATAACGACTGAATTATTCGGGTTAAGTGTTTTCTAGACTGTTGTTTTTTGTTTCGTCGTTTTCCTTTTTTGCTATGGATTTGTCAGTCTCTTTTCGAATTATGTGTTTTTATTGTCCCTTTGGTATCTTTTCAAATTTGATTATATCTAGAGAACATACATAAATGTCGGAGATAATTTTTTACTGATAATTTTATTCAAGCTTGAGTACTATTCCTCATCTTTAGCCTCTATAATATGAATGCTATCACAATGATCACAATTATTTATGAATTATATTTTGTAAACTAAGCTAATCTTTATCATACATGATAAATAGTTTGTTTAAATCAAGACATTTGTCAAGAAATTGTATCAAATTCTTTAAAAGGTTATAAACAAAAGTATAATATGGAACACATACCTTCCTTGTCTATTTGCATTTGATTGGGTTTTTTATTTTAGATAAATGAACTAATGTTCCTTGTATTTATTCTTACAAAAAATAACATTGCATTAGTTAAAAAGATCACAGAATTAACAATCAGAAGTAATATATCAGTTTTAGCAGAAATATTACTCGAGGTTGCCTCTAGTCTAAAGGGTTTTATCCTTACATGGATACCATTAGATGTGGGGTATACATACGTAAATAAGAGGCAACGTTCAAAACCAGTAAATTCATATGATATTAAAAAGCATCCAAACGAAAAAACAAACAAAAAAAACAAACAAACAAAAGAAATATGAGTTGTGACTATGCAAGTTGGTACATGGATAGTATATGGCTTTGCTTAGAGTTGTTAAAATCTATCTTTTGATTTGTTGCATTCAAAGTTAATTTTCATTCAAAGCTGTTCTTTTATAATTTATCTATAATTTAGTTTTGGATGTAACACGTCTTCTGATTGGCTGAAAGTTTTTTGTCTATCAGCTCATAGCTCATAGACATAAATTTTGTCATGTGACCGTGACGTCATCAACGTTTTTTTTCATGATTTACTGCTTAAAAATGGAATTTAGAATTAAATTATAAGGAATGACTGTAATATTTTTTTTGTCTATTCGAAATAACCTCAAAATGTGGTGCACACTTTTAAACAACTCGCTACGCGAGTTATTCAGTGTGCACCACATTTTTTATGTTATTTCTTCATAGACAAAAAAAATATTACAGTCATTCCTTAATTAACTTTTGTTATCCACACCCAGTATTTGAAAATATAACAACTTACGACAAGTGTAATCTAGTTGTGAATAAGCATATCACAATATGATATATGTAAATTTTATGATAACATAGTTAAACAGGATAGAGGCAACAATAGTAATGTCCAAAACTCATAAGGCAATTTGGAATGGAAAAAAAACCGGAGGGAATCACATGAAATCAAAACGAAGATCGGGTTCGTCGACGAGTAAAGGGTTATGCTGTACATACGTCATCCATATTGCAAATTCAAACTTAGTCAAAATGTCGCGAATAGATGGGGAATATAGGACACAATCGGTAAATTTGCAAATCAGACGAATAATCTGGTATCTTATGCCGCGTTCACACGTACATTTAATTCGAATTGAATTCGAATCGAATGCGAATCGAATTCGCTAATCGCGTTCACACACTCTTCTTTTTTAATTCGAATTGATTCGAATTGGCTAAATCGCATCATCCAATTCGCATTAGAAATGCGTTTTTGTTAATACGAATTAAAAGTTAACGTCGTTAGGACAGTAAACCGAATTTGACGCGCATTGCAATTCGAATTAGAATTTACGTTCGGACGTTAAACGTTTCGAATGCGAATTAAACTAATTCGAATTAGTTAATGCGAATCGAATTCGAATTACGTGTGAACGCAGCATTAATATCCGTAAGACCAACTTGTGAAGTGTCGATTTTAGTTCTACTTCGTCACGATCTAATGGATGATTTTTGTATTAAGCCCCCGTCACACTAGACCAAGACCATGAAGATCTCACTACGGTCTATAAAAAAAAAAAGATCGGTATGGTCGGCTTGAATATTCAATATTTCATAGTTTTCACGTTCATACAACGACCTTGCTATGATCCTGATAAGATCCTGCTACGATTCCACTACGATAGTAACACGTTCTATAGTTACAATTTTGTCACGCTCTTGCTATGTCTAATAAGACATTACCACGACTTACACGATCTCAATACGAGTCTACTATGATCGAACCACGACTCCACTACGTTATCACTTCGCTCTTCGTTTGTTCACGTGACCTACAGGTAGAAGTTATTGCATTCGTTTTTTATATATCAACAGAATGAGGTCGTGCAATTATCGAGGCTAGGACGTAGCAGAAACGCAGTAAGGTCGTACTAAGGACGGCAAGCGCGTAGTAGCAACGTACTATTGTCTTCATCATTGTAGTATAATCGTATCAATATCGTAGTAGAAGCGTAAGAAAGACGTAGTGAAATCGGCATAGTCGCAGTGAAAATCGTAGTAAGGTCGCAGCGAAATCTTTTGCATTGGCTTCCCAATTGTATCTTCGATTTTCATTTTTGTGGAACAAGCTTTGTTGAATTAAAATATATAGCCAATCTTTTAATTGAGCATTGTAAAGTAAAGTCTGTAGAAAAATTGAAAGTTTTGAATTTTTTGCAATATTGTAATGGTTGTGATTTAAGATTTTGGTGAAGATATTTTAGCAGAATATTTAAGAATCCACATCTGATTGACACCTCTGGTTGAGTATACCTCTTCAGGGTATCCTTGAAGTTCATCTTTCACCGTAAACATGACCTTAAACATCCATTTCTTTGTTGAAATAGTTTGATTGTTTGTTTGTGACAAT